TATATATATATATATATATATATATATATAAACATATATATACATATATATATATATATATATATATATATATATATATATATATATATATATATATAAAAACATATATACATATATATATAAACATATATATTATTATATATATATATATATAATATATATATGTATATATATGTATATATATATATATATATATATATATATATGTTTATATATATATATATATATATATATATATGTTATATATATATATATATATGTTTATATATATATATATATATATATATATATATATATATAATTTATATATATATATATATATATATATGTTTATATATATATATATATATATATATATATATATATATATAATATATTTATATATATGTGTCTATGTAGAAACATATATAGGTAGATATAGATAGATATATATAGATATATATAAGCACATATACGTATTTATTTACTTATTTACACAAATACATTCACACATACCCTCAAACACACTGTGAGTCACGTGTTTCCCAAGTCTTGGCCTGATTACTTACATAATTTTACTGAAAGTAACTTTGGAAGCGCGAGATGCTGTTATATATAGTATAAGGAAATTAATAAGATTGGTAAAAACTACTTTATCACATTTTCATTGGCAAAAAAGTCATGATTTGCTCTAGTTGTGACAAAAAACTCATGGCATGGCCCTACATGCCCCTAGAATACGGTTAAGATGGGAATGGGTGAAATATTTTTTATGTAAAAGAGTAGACAAGTCAAGTGAATGTGCTTGATGTCAGTAATTATATAGCACCAGTGCAAAATTACAAGCAAGTGACTGGAATTGTTAATGTGCAAGTGTAAGGCATTTATCAGCCAGTTAATGTGTTTTATCACTGTCTTAGATATTAAGATCTGAAGACCAAAGAAAAGTTGTTTCTTCTGAATAATTCATAATATTGCTTAAGTCCTCCAAGACTGTGCTTTAAATATTTGTGAACGCTGGTTGGAAAATAAATAAGAATGTCTTTTATTATGTTTGCATAAACTATCTATTATGAGTTATGAATTACACAGTGAAAATCATATTTTAGGTTGATATTAATTTGATACCACAATGGCCTTTGTCTGCCCATTCCTCAAAAGATCATGTTCACTGTGATTTTAGTATGTAAATTTTGCTCCACATGTGCATTATTACAAAGAAGGCAGTTATTACGCTTACCTAATCTCACATTATTCCATGAATTAAGAGTATATATGAATTCTTGTTATTATTTTTAGTAATATTATGATTATAATGTCAATAATGATGATAATACCATTGTTAATTATAGTGATAGTATTAAGAATGAAAATATTTTTTCCAACCAAAACATTTAAATTATGGGATACACAGGTGAGGTTAGGTAGGCCTAGTAGTTTACTCCTTGATGACTAAGTGTTTGTGATGCTATCTAGGCTTATGTGTAAACAGAATTATTGACACAGTAAAACTACAGTTAACAATACATGTATCAGGGGCCTTTGGGTTAATTACTTTTACTTCTTTACTGCTTTTCTTACTCTTTTAGTAAGGCAGTAATTATACTTTTCCCTCATTAATAGGAATCTTTCTATGGCAGGTCCAATAGCAGACCGGATTGTTGCTGTCTGCCAAACCAAGGAAGACCAGCACCTCTGGGTTGATACCCTCACCCAACAGTGCCGTATGGCTAGAGCCTCCAACTTCACCCCTCACAAATCCTCGCTAACCTCTCCCCCTGTACCCCCAGCTCATGTAAGTGTATCATCTAATAGTTACGGATGTAATGTCGAGCATAGTACATCCGAGTTCAATTCATGCATGACTTGTGGCTTAATGTGGAACCCATCTGGTGACGAGTATATCACAGGTGTTGAAATGATTGGTGGTGGTACTGATAGCCCCTATACTCCTTCCTCTCTGCAAGATCAATTTTGTCAGTGTAAAGCATCCAGCACAAAACATAATTTGCTTAGTCCTTCCCTCTTAGTCTCACAACAGGATGTAACATTTCTCCCCAATGAAACCTTTTATATTAGCCGACCATATGCCATCCTTACAAAATACTTCAGTAACTTGTATAGAAGAAAGATCATAACAAAAAAACTATTAAGAACATTAGCTGGTGATAAAGAAGAAGATGTTTTGCATCAAGTCCAGTTGCGTAGACACAGAACAGAGTGTTCAATTATGACCGGGTGTTTATCTAGTGATGATTCTGATGATGAACCCAGCACTTTGAAATTAAAAAATGACCAATGTTCTGATGTGGAGTCCACCACAAGTGGCTCATCCAGTGATGATGGCTATTGGGTAGGGGAAGATCCCAGAATCAAAGCAAGTATCTTCTCACCAATGCCAAAGAAAAAAGCTCTGCCATATCCAGTACTGCCTCAAGCAACCTTCAAAGGTGGAGGTACCAGCAGAGTGACATTGACAAAAGGTTTAATAATAGTTCCATATCAAGCTCTGGAGAATCAGGTGTATCCACAGATGGCAGCAACCCTTATGGTTACGTCAGATATTACAATCCTGATGATTCCAGTCTTGGGTCCCCGCAGATGGAAGGTGATTATGGCCAAGGGTCAGCTCAGCGCTTCACTTACACAAAACCATTCAGCACTGCCTTTGAAGAATTTGAACCATACTCAAAAATGGATAAAAGTTCTTCCTGTGAAAGTCCTTATTACAGTATCGCCCAAGGAATTGCCCCACTCGCAGTTTCAGAGGTGTCATATGAGGGTGATGAAAGGGAGTATGAGGATCACAACTTTAAACATCCTGTACATAAAGAAAATCTTGATAACAAGATCCTGCCATCCTCACAAAGTTACCCACAGTGTTTTGTTAGTGGTAACATATATTCTCCTGCAAAGTATGTTACCTACCCTCACTCTCAGACAGGCATCATATCCAGGTCCATTCCCCTTATTGCAGGAACTCTAATTACTGAAACAGAGGAGGCAAAGTTCACTGCTAATAAAGCACTTCATTCATCAACACTTAATATTCCAGCTACCCCAATAATCTTACCCAGTTTGGTTCCTGGTGAATCAGATGGTGAGCTTTCAGAAAGCACTCCTAATATTTGCAACAGAACCATATATGGAGGTTCATTATCTTCTGAAGATGCACCAGCTTTTGAGATCAAGAGAGAAGAACCATTAAAAATGTTTCCATTTAAAATTAAACCAGATGTGGCTTATTACATGTCATCATGCAGTGGTGATGAGATGGGAGATGACAGGAGTGATTATTACGAAAATCAGAGAAATCAGAAGTCTTTGGCGTTGTCTTTATCTCGCAGCGAGCCAAACCTGCTTCAGAGACTACCCTCAGTACAAGAGCCCAAAGATTCACATACATATGCAAGCCATTTTGTCCAGTTTGTGCACAATGTGGAAAATCCTGCCAAAGTCTGCAGCTGTGAATCTCACAGCCACAGGTCCTCAGACTCTGGCCTTGCAGATGTTTTACACCACTTGGAATGTTGTCCATTAAGAAGTGAAACTCCAGGGTTAGGGCGAGGATCTAGTATATCTCGCTGCTCCCATTCCTCCCAGTTTTCCAGCATTAAGTCTCCAAGAAGCATATCTTCTTGCCAGATACGTCCCATCACTCCAGACTGTGGAGTGGACAGTGACAGCCTCCTCCTCTCACCCATGATGACACCTCGCACCTCTGCCCCAGTGACATATTCAATGGATTCATTTTCCTCCCTTCCAGACTCAGTCACTTTACATCACTCAACTTCAGCACAAGACCTGTTATGCTCAAGATTTTCAGAATCCACAAATGATGAATCAGTTTTTCGGTCAGGATTATATGCACACTGGTGGATGAAGGCCAGTGTTTGCCCAAAGGTGTTACAACTAGAAAAATCTAAAAGAGATTATTTGAGGTTCTGTAGTGAAAAGAAGCCTGAAGTACCACCAAAGCCCAAATTCTTGAAGCCTTCATATCACACCCGTAGAGTGGGGGCTCTGACTAGACCTGCTGCTAGGTCAGCTGCTACACAGACTAACTTTGGTAATGTCCATTCCTTAACCAAGATATGTAGATCTGTACCAAATACCAGTCATGGAGTTGCTAAAAGTGAAGAGCCTAAGCCAAAAGAAGCACAGTCAGTGAGACCTAAGCAGAAGATATCGTCAACACACCTCAGCCCTCAGAGTTCAGTCAGCATCTCTCGTGATCGAAGTTTTGAGTCTCAAGCATCCCAAGTCTCTCAGGTAACAGTAATACCAAGACTGGCAAGTCAAAGGGAAAACACATTCTCTGAAGTGCAGACAAATCAGCTGACATTACCCCAATTCAGCCTCACCACACCCAAGATACAGTCAAATAATTCACAGGAGTCAAGTGTGACAAGTGGAACTTCACGTACAGAGCTATCAAGTCTCCATAGTTTCAGTGAATCTTGTGATAGAGATGGTGATCCCCCACACATTCGTGATTCCTCTGAAGGCTTAGATGTTGACTTCCGACGTAGAGCTTCCTCCCATTCCTTGCATGTTGGTACTGGTTCTTCAGAAGCATTCAGATCCACATTGTATTGCCAGCTTCAGCCTTTCTCACAAACTAGTGATCAGCAGGGCATCGAAGTTCAATTACCAGTCCCCACGGCATCGGCTACCGGATTTGTCAGGGAGGGAGATGATGTTGCCAAACCTAGCCTTCCTCCGAAACCCTCCCACCTTCAGACATGGCCTATCCAGCGGTCCAAGAGTCTTCCAAAACTCCCCCTGTCGACCATCTCTATCCACAGCCAAAGCAAGGTATCTTGGGTGAGGTTATCTGCAGGTCCCGTGATGATAGTCTCATTCAGTATTTTTCTTGCATAATATTTAAGTAATGATTTTTTCATTTTTCTTTTATCTTAATGTGACATAGAAATGAGATCTATCATCTTTTGTAGATATCAATATTGCTTTACATACCATATTCTCTACAATGTCAGTATATTTGTTTTTATAGAAATTTCTCTTGTTCTGTACACTTCTTTGTACTACAGCCATTTTATTGTGAATAAAGATTGCTTTTGTACAGTAAGTACTATTTGGTCATTGCTGATGCAGTCATTATCAGTATTAATATGCTAGGAAGACCTTTGTTGATAATTCTCTTCCTCATCTCAGGAATACTCCAGCTAGGTGTACCTTGGCTGCTCTTGTTGTATTTTGTCTGCTTGAAGGGCAGCAACTCTTTTCACTTGTCTTTGAGGTAAACCTTTCCACAAAGCAGTGTAGATGGTGCTGTTTTGAGTGTTACCAGACTCACACAAAACTACAAGAGTTTAAACAGTGAAGCTCTGAACATATACCTCTTCTCTGCTACAACAGATATTTGGCAGACATCTTTTACAGATGCAAAATTTATCTGTATATTAAGACTTTCAAATGTGTGTTAGATCAGACTTTGTCTTTACTGTTGCAGCTCTTGTGATGATGAATTTCCAAGTTTCTTATGATTGGCAAATTCTGACATACATTGATACATCAGATGTCTTAGCCAGGAAAAATTAAGCCTGGCGGTAAGATTGGATTTTTTATTAACACCGTAAACAGTAGTTCAGTGAGTGAATTTATTGTTGATGTTGATATTAACTTGATTTGCATTTCAATTTTTTTTCAGTTATTGACAAGCAATTTTCAAAATGGCAAAGAGTATTATTATTATTACTTTCTCATTTTGTATGGAGCAAGTTAAAACATGAAATTGGAAATACCTTTAGAATACCATAAACCACTTTACACATTTGACAAGACAAAAGCCAATCCTTTGCTCCTAAAAAAGGAAATAGTGAAGTCCTTTTCTGTTTTTCTCCTTTTTCTCTCTTTTTTGGGTGAACCTGCAGATAAATGCTAGATACCTTGCTTTTGTAATGCTGATATCTGTTGATATTTTTATAGTTTTTTGCATGTGATAAATATGATTTTAAGCTTACTTGTATTACATTATCCAAATAAATGCTGGTAGAGTTTCCTGGTCTTCATGTAGTATGAGCATTAATCCTCTATAGCATATTATTAGTAGTAGTTTGACAAACATCAGCACTGAAGTATATGGCTGTTGTGAGTATATTATTCATATTTTCATATTGTTGAAGTAATTTTCTCATACAGTGTATTATTAGGTTAAGAAAATATCTTGAACAGTGTAATTCTCCACCATTTAATTACAGCAAAACTCAGTACCAGTTCTTGATTTTTGTTACATGGTTGATATTGAGAATATACATACCCTTTTTATAGATGCTGTTTTTACAAAAGTGGCATAATGTTCATAGTCACATTTAAAACATCTTTAGATATATTATTATTATTATTTTTTTTTTTTCATTAATCCATTGGGCCCTGGTGCTTTAGTGCCAGCACTTGCCCCAAAATCCAGGCAGTAGGCTTACTTGAGTGGCAACTCACTGGTGTGTGTGTGGCTTGTAGGTCTGGCCCACATGAATACTCCTGTGCAGTGTTAAGGGGAAGAGTCGTCAGTACGGTTCACAAATTACGATTTTTTCAAACTTTGTGTGTGGATACATGACCATGTGACGCACCCAGGGCGCCGGTTGCCAGATGCGTAACGCGCTCCTTTCCGCGGTTTAAAGGTCTGGGGTATTTAAATGCGCTTGTGCTGCCACACCACTTTTTGCTTCATGCTTTGTTTTTCTTGTATTTTCAGCGTTTTTTTGGCTGTTTTTGCGAATTTCTTTGGTATGATACTGCTGTACGATAGTTTAGGCTGCGTTCAGCAGACAGGCAGCAGCAGCAAGGACGGGAGAACAGTGCGATTGATAAAGTTTTCGGGAGTACACGTTTTGTTTTCAACCTGTTGAAAACCTAACAATATGTCATTTATATATCAGAAATGCATAATATACAATTTATTATGTACTATGATATGTAAATGACAGAGGGACCAGGAGCCTTGACATCTGAAAGTATACTTTTCAGAGAACACTCCCACCTAACCTAACCTAACCTTGACATAAAGATGACCTAAAATTACCTGAACAAGGCCTGACCCTCTACCACAGGACTCATATTAAAGGCCAAGGAATTGTCTAAGTAGATATTCACATTTGGTAATCATTGGTATGACCTTTATGATGTAATGACGATGAATGACAAAAACTGCCATTTTCTCAAAATCATATTTTCACGCATGATAGTAAGGTTAACTTTGTATGTAATTACGCGATTTTAATAATTCTTGTTTGATCGTCCAGTCTTATTGTAGCAAAGTCATGCATTATTTCCACCAAATACATTTTTTACTGAAAAAAATAATGGCGATTTTCGGACGAAAAAAAAGGCGCTTTTTTGCAAGGTAACTGAAACATTGTCGTTTCAGATAGATTTACATAAATGCTACATTTGGTACTCCTATTTGTTGACTAACTCTGGTCAGAAGGAAACTGCAGTACTATTCACTATAAGGAAACCATCACATAATTTTTGAATTCTATCATCTTGTTCTTTTTTTTTTTTTTAATGCGCAAAAATTTACGCAGCTTTTTTAATCAAATTTCTTGTATACAAGCATCATATACCCATGCACTTTGTGTAAAAAAATTATTGACCTAGCTAAAAAACTAAAGTAAGCAGGATCGGATAACGAATTTCGCGATCGTACCAACGACTCTTCCCCTTAAGACTCCTTAAAGTCCCTTTGCAATGTTATTATCTCTTTCTGCATAAGCATTTCTTTTTGTTATTTTCTAATGCTGATATTTGATATGCTCCATCATCTCTTTATGCACTACAATTTTGTGTGCAGTAATGAAAATAATAATTTTGTATTCAAATTGGAGTGTCCTCCCAGGAGCCAGAGTTCTTCCAGCCATGGCTTATGGATGGCACATTCCACATTCATTGACTAGAAATAATGCAAGAGCCCCTTCCTAAATGCTCTTTTAGTCTAATCTTCTTCCACTAGCTTTGTGCACTCGTGACTCATTCCTGTCACCCCAGCCTTCAGCCAAATTTTTCATGATGGCATATTCCTGTCATCTGGCCCACAGCCAATTTTTGTCATCTGGATCCAATGGTTTAAAGGATGGATGTTATTTAGATTTTATGCTTTATTTAGAAAAGGAATCTAACATAATTTTTATTGTTTATCAAAATAACATGATATATAATAAATGGTAATTTCTAACAGAGCACATCTTTAGTGCCACGACAGTCCAGTGTGACTAGCATCACAAGTAACACCGAGTCACCTTCAAGGATGCAGCGCTGTGCAGGGGGAAAGGTGAGAATTAAAATAATTATTAATGTGGTGTTTAACATATGTTAATTGAATATCTAACCCAATGCCACCAGGAAAATGTGGTCATTGTAGTATTGTTTTGTGAAATGTTTTTATGCATATATGGATCTGCCAGTGTAGTAGACCTTATGACCTCAACTGACTTCGCATTTCCTTGAGTTTGCGGGAAAAACACCTTTTTTTAATAATGCTTTCAATATTGATACTGTTATTTTTATCATAATTTCCATAGTGTTGTTGACATTATTAACAGCAATATTAAACACCAGAAAATATTGTCAAAAATCAAGGAAAAGGGTGAACAGGTGATACAGGTACTTTTTGTAATTGGCTCATTGGTGATGGAGTACTTGTGGAGCCATCTATGTGTAAAAACAATTATGAAATTAAATAGTGGAGATGGCATGTATGCACATGCCATCCCCGGCTGCATGTGGTTAACTTCTACAAAGGTAATTTTGGTCTTTGCTACTTCAATTGCTTGATTATACCCACAAACAAGAGAGTATATTTCTATTGTCATATATTAGATATAAGGTGTGCATGAGCTTCAAAGCTGAAAATATACTGCAGTTGCCCCTTGTATCAAAGTGGAAAGGAGAAAAGATTACAAAAAAGGGAGAAAAAAAAATGCTGATGAAACACATTCTGTAAAAGTATCATATAAAACATTTGATTATATATTTGTTTGTATTTATGTCTATGAATAGTTTAAAAAAGGATGAATTAGCTGTATGATACAAACTGTTATGTTTTGTGGAGAAGAAATGAGAAAGAGAAAATGAGAGGTTTGGCTAGTTTCAATATGCAAAAATTACTGTATTCACTCACTGCATTCCATTCTCAACAAAAGAGTGAGAGAGACACCATTATTCAGTGATTGGCTCTGCAAGTTTAGGTGCTACAATGTGATGATGTGATGGGTTTGGCCACAGAAAAGTTCTTGTAAAAAAAGGGTGAATGAAATTGAATGTCTTCAAACTGCATGAGATCACAGATGTTCATTTTCATTCATGATTTTTTTTTCTACATTTGTCAGTGTACACTGTTCAAGTCAAGAATATAGCTTTGCATGATAAAGTAGTGTCCATAACCCAGTGCCTCTGGAAATCATGCATAGATGGCTCCACAAGTGCTTAGAAACCAAGGGCCTCACCTGATTTCACCTTTCCTTGAGTTTTCAGGATTTTTTTATTTTATTATTAATCCTGTTGTTATTATCATATACTTTATAACTATTATAATGTTATCGACATTACTAATAGTAATGTGAGATAAGAGAAATATTTCCACAAGTCCAGGAGAAAGGTAAACAGTTGAGATAGGTAGTACTGGTAATTGGCTCAGTGGTGACTATGTGTAAAGATAATTGATTAGCTTAACTCATCTGTATTGAGATTGGGGCATCTTGTTAGCCCCTCCCATGGATAGTTTTGCTATATGGTTTCAATGATTGTGGATTGTTTTGTTTGTGTATTTATATGTGTAATTATCTTATATTATCTGAAATATGAAATGATTATTTTGCATAATTATTTTACTCTTATGACTTAGATGGCAAATAACAACAAAACATATTTATCATCATATCTGATAAATCAAGTGGTTAAACTGTTATCAATAAACAAAGAAACAATAAAGGAAAATGCAGCACTGCATGACCTCTGGTGTCTGTGGTTTACATAAACAAGGAGTGGGATTGCAAAGCTTCAAATTGGGATAAAAATGTTTCAGATGGATTGGCAATGTTTCATATTGAAAGTTTATAGATTGATATGGATTGGGAATGGTCTATGCACCTTATGCACCATGGAGACATCTTACAGTTTACAAGGAGCTACCATTGCTCTTCATAACGATTAAGCAAGTAATGGTGAGATCACACCACATTGTTTGGAGGCTGTTTTAACTGCAGGGGGAGGGAAAACAAATTATTGAAATTAACAACCTGTACTATTTTCCTTTTAATCAATACACTCTAATATTAAAAGACAAACTTATATCATTATAAAGAATTTCATGCTAACAGTTGAACTTTAATATACGATAAAGGTGGTTGCACAGAAATAAACATGGGCATTTACAATTGAAGACATGACAATTCATTTGTCATACAGTGACAAATGACAAATCAAAAAAAGTTGAAATGGTGAATACCAAATATTGACTTTTCCATATGTAGAATCAACATAATTTTGAGATAAGCATTATGCAAAAAATATTTTGAAATATTTCCAATCCATAAGAAGTGTGACTGAAAACTGAATTCAATTTGCCTCTCATTTCCCAGGAGGGACAAGCATGAAATCATAGAAAATGGAGACTAGGATACAACCCTTATTTTTGCTTGTATTCAAAATAGGGTATAAATGTACAGAAATAAACTTTTAGAGAGTCTATATATAACAATATTCCCCTGAACCTCAGCATATATTCAACTCTTTCTTAGCTCTAAACAACTGCAGGAAATACAAACTTCAAAAAAATGTATCGTCTACACTGCTTTTTACAGTTTTGTCTTTTTTTTTATTTGGACTGTGCATATGTAGCCATTTCATATTATTTTCTTACCTTTTATATTTCATTCAGATAATCAAGCTTCATTTTACTCATTGCTGCCAGTGATGGCCTGTGCGTGCATGCCATGTCCACTGTGTGTTTAATTTAGTAATTGTTTTTAAATGTAGATGGCTCCAAAAGTACTAAGTCACCAATGAGCCACTTACAAGAACTACATGTTTACCCTTTTCCTTGATTTTTAATAATTTTTTGTAGTATTTGATACTGCTCTAGTTGTGTCAATAACAATATAGTAATTTTAATGTTTATAACAAAAATAACAGTGTCGATATTGATAGCATTAGTAAAAAAAAATGTTTTCCTGCTATTTCTAGGAAAGGTGAGGTCCCAAAGATATACTAATTTACTCCTCTGTGGCTAAGCACTGGCAGAGCCATCTATGTGCAGAAAAATTTATCAAAACAAAACTAAAGTGAAAGCAACATTTTCCCATCAGTATTGGGTTAATGACTTAATAAAGCATATACCTAATAATGTGCCTGTGTCACAAAACCTACATTGTAGATTTTTCATATTAGTTTGTGGTCAGGGTAAAGATTCTCTCTCTCTCTCTCTCTCTCTCTCTCTCTTCTCTCTCTTCTCTCTCTCTCTTCTCTCTCTCTCTCTCTCTCTCTTCTCTCTCTCTCTCTCTCTTCTCTCTCTCCTCTCTCTCTCTCCTCTCTCCTCTCCTCTTCCTCTCTCTCTCTCCTCTCTCCTCTCTCTCTCTCTCTCTCTCTCTCTCTCTCTCTCTCTCTCTCTCTCTCTCTCTCTCTCTCTCTCTCTCTCTCTCTCTCTCTCTCTCTCTCTCTCTCTCTCTCTCTCACCACTTATAATGTCATCTCAAACAGTATTGGGCTAACTTAATTATATTTATTATAGATAATGCAAATATGTATGTAGATGCTCATATATTTCCTGTGAACTATCTCGTAAATATTCAGTGCTACCTTGAAAAATGGCTTGTTTGCTTGGGAGCGGTGGGTCTCTGTCTTAGAGGGCCAGACTATTTGTCTATACAAAGTTTATACAGCAGTACAAAAGTTTGTGAAAAACTGCTATTGTGATATGGCCTTTCATTAAAAATGTAGCTAGTGCGTCTATGTCAATTGGACATTCTGATTCCTGATAACCTACAGAGGGAAAGGTTTCTATAATTACAGGGTAAAAGGAGGTGTAGAAATATTAACACTTGTTATAATTGTATTTTGATGTGTTGAATATTTGGATGCCCTTTCTTATTTATGATTCTGAAGAATGTATAAGATAGTAGAAGGTGCAAAGACATGCCTATTCTTTTATTTTAATTTATGTGTAATGATATTTTGAGATAATTGTTATTTTACTCTATATGAAGGTACAATGTATAAAGTTATGGTGAATGTAAACAATTGCTTTATAATTGTTTTTACCCCTTAGGTTTGGAGCATGTCTTGTCTCCGCCCATCTCCACCCTTACGTCCTGGACTTTCACCTCGTGATGACAAAAGAAGTCAACGGCATACAAAACGGAAAGGTAATTAGAAAGTGGGAAAATTTGTAAAACTCAAAAAGATATATAAATGACAATGTATATTTCAGTTCCATGGATACTAGTTAAGGGTACCATCCCTAAATGGTGGGAGTAGGAAATTTTTGGGGTCAAATCATTAAATATTCATTAAAAAACTTATTTACAGATTTTCTTGGTATTTTGATATTTGATTATTTTAATATTCCATATCTTTTGAGACCAAATTTATGAAGATAGCCACAAGGCAAGTTGTTCATGTCACCCCAGTCTGTATCCAAATTTTTCATGGTGGCATGTTTCTGTCACCCTGGTACTAGCTAAACTTTTCCAAGACAGCATGTTCCTGCTTTGTGGCATCCAGCCAAAATTTTTCATAACAATAGTCACCAAGGGATTAAAGAACAAAAAATCAGAAATACCTTGGTCTGGCTTAACCCATTGCCTCCAGGTGATGCATAGATTAACATCATGGCTGATTTGGTCATGGCTCTGGGTGATGTGCCATTCCCATTATGATTGACTTTGTTATAACTATAGAAGATGGGTCAATTAAATCACCTTATTATGATGCATGCAATACACTTTATGCTGATCTTTAGAAGGTACCCTCATGCTCTCATGTCACATAACCCAGAGCATTGCCTGATGAAAAATGAGACATGTAAAAGACAGTATTCCTTGTCTGTTGCACATATGAATTAAAACATAAAACTAGACTAAATGATAATGGTAGTAATCCAAAAAATAAAAACTGTATTAATAAACAAGTTGGGGAATATAGTACTGCATGATGATTCTAGTTAAAAATTTTCTATAATCAGATAATCATAGCATGAATATAACATATATATATGATATTGTGAGTTATAGTCACACAGACATAGACTA